GAGCTAGAACTAGCTAGAACTAACATAGTGCGGGCTAGAACTAGCATGGTGCGGGCTAGAACTAAGAATGTACGGGTTAGAACTAACTTGAGGGCCCAAGAGCCTAGAACTAAGATAAATTAGAACTAGAACTAGCTAGAACTAATATAGTGCGGGCTAGAACTAGCATGGTGCGAGCTAGAACTAAGAAGGTACGGGTTAGAACTAACTCGAGGGCCCAAGAACCTAGAACTAAGATAAATGCGAGCTAGAACTAACATAATGCGGGCTAGAACGAGCATGGTGCGGGCTAGAACTAAGAAGGTGTTGGTTAGAACTAACTTGAGGGCCCCAGAGCCTAAAACTAAGATGAATTAGAGCTAGAGCTAGCTAGAACTAACATAGTACGGACTAGAACTAGCATGGTACGGGCTAGAACTAAGAAGGTGCGTGTTAGGACTAACTTGAGGACCCAAGAGCCTAGAACTAAGATGAATTAGAGCTATAACTAGCTAGAACTAAGATAGTGTGGGCTAGAACTAGCGAAAAGCTCTGAACAGCGAAGAACAAACTTGAACGGCGAGAAATTGCACTGTAGAAAGCTGTAATTTTGTGCCGACTTCGCACGCACTTTCCGATCACCTCCAATCTCTGTTTCCACCGATTTCTTCTTTGGTGAGTAGCCCTACATGTTGCCTATCACCTCCAATTTGTATCACGCTCTAACTCATTCTCTATCTCTCTCGATAACGTCCGAAACATCGTTGGACGGCAGCAGCGAGTAGAAAACAACAGCGTCGTGCCGACTTCGCGCGCGTTTTTCGGCCACCTCCGGTCTCCGTTTTCACCACCGTCTTCGCCGGTGTATATCCCTTTATATTGTCTATCACACGGTATCTTCCTTTTACTTGGGCTCATTTTCTACCTCTCGTTATATCACTTCGAATATTATTAGTTCTAACTTGCCCCAACTAGCTAGAACTAACATGGGACGTGCTAGAACTAACATAGGGCGGGTTAGAACTAACATGGGATAAGTTAGAACTAACTTGAGAGCCCAAGAGCTCAAGAACTAAGATTTCGGATATAAGATCAAGACACGATTATTTTTTCCGATTAGAAAAAAAAATTGAGGGTGTTGTTGGTTCATCAACAGAGGAGAGTCACAAGTAAAAAAATAAAGAAGACATTAAAAGTCTCGTTAGAATTAAAGTCAAAACTAGCCATGTCATTCACTTTATTCTTTGACTTCAAAACCCGCCATTACGTCCACGAGCCTCAACATAAAAATAAAATTTTGATTTATGTAAATCACGAGACTTCCGTGAGCCCTTGCTTTTCTGACACAATGCTAAGTCACACATGAGAAACAAATGAACTGAATACTTAATTAAACTCCATGATTTTCCTCTCATATCCAGCAAACATAACAGACCCGTTGCGACAAACTTGAGGGGTGAAGCTTAGGGGCCTGGGTGGAGGCAGCGACGGCGATGACGAGTAGGGCGTGTGCCAGGACGACGAGCTTGAGAAAGCCCTTGGTTTTAGAGAGAGAGAGAGAGAGAGAGAGAGAGAGAGAGAGAGAGAGAGAGAGAGAGAGAGAGAGGATGAGAGAGCTGGGTTTGAGGTATTGAAGAGAGGGGATAAGGTTATTTTGGGGATTTTAGCTTAGCTGGTATGTAATAATTGTTAAAAAAGGGCTGCAGTACAAAGTGTCACACTTCAAGAGGCTGAATCACATGAGGGAAACTAAGAGGGGCTGCAGCACATGAAGTTTCTGTTTTTGTGACCTGGACACATTTTTCCCAAAATATTATGGTGTTTGTAGAAGATGATGTATAAATGATCTGTAGAAAGTACCTTCAGGGGTTTTGCTGAAGGACTCATGTACTGTGAGTTGAAAAATAAAATAAAAAATAGTTGTTTAGTGTGTTGGTGTTATGTTTGCCGGTCTTGAGGTGACATTTGTAAAGTCATGATTAATGGAGTATGTTACTGTCAACACGCAGGCGTTGCT